TACGCAACTGTTCAGTTGATCAGAAGTACAAAACAACGCGTTTAGAATGTGCCAACGCAACAGTTACTGAGCTGTTGCGCCTTCTGAATGTGCCCAGTGTAGCAAAACCGATGTGTGCGATGCATCGACAAATATCGATGCAAGTTTTGATGTATCGAGGCGAGGAAAAACATCGATGAATTTTTGCACATTGTCACAGTTCAATTGTCATTATCGTGTCATCAACTGTTGTTATAGGTATGCACAGTCAATAATGACAAGCGAAAATCTCGTTTTATTTGCCAATTTCGGCGAAATTTTCTCTATAGTGAAGCAGCTGTTCTTTGGTTACATTTTAATTGTTCTTTTTGACCGCCACTGCAACAGACGGGATTTCTTTTCAATTAAATACAACGCAGCAATGGATTACGAAACGCCACAAAAGTGAGTAACTTTATAATAGGAAAATTGATTTAATTTTATTATGAATTCGTGTATTAACATGAGTGGAAAAAATTAACGCAACACACAAGAGCAGCTGCAGTTTTGTAAAGACCACCCGAACTGCAAACGTGAAAAACTCTCAGAAGTATTTTCTCTGTATAACAGTAATAACCGCGAACATAATAATTATTGGGAAAATTTTAGTAGACGGACGGCAATTCTAGAAAAAGGGGGGCTGAGGGGGGTAGAATAGGACCGCCTGATTTCAAAAAGGCCCCTTTTTTTCTAGCAACCCTATAGTTCTTATATAATTTATTGTTAAAGTTTTCATATAAACGATGAATAAGATAGCAAAATAACATAAAACTTGGTGCTGCCAGACTGAAATTTTGAATAGTAAAAGCGGATTTTTAATTCGGAATTTTCACTTAGTAGAATTCTCCTTTCTGTGTTGCCGAAAAGGGGAAAAAGGGATTATAACCCTCACTACGTAGAATTCTCCTTTCTGTGTTGCCAAAGAAGAGGGGCTGAACACCTTTTGCAGAGAACACCTTTCTGCATAGGCGGCCTTCGGCCGCTCTTAGGGATTAAAACCCTCACTACGTAGAATTCTCCTTTCTGTGTTGCCGAAAAAAAGGGGCGGAACACCTTTTTCAGAGAACACCTTTCTGCGTAGGCGGCCTGTGGCCGCACTTAGGGATTATAACCTAACTACGTAGAATTCTTTCTATTGTATTGTTTTGTACGGTATGGCAACACATCTTATTTGTCAGTTTGCAAACATGTGTTATGTGTTATGAATTTATATATATGAAAGTATGTGACAACTGCCCACTTTGATAAGGAAATCAACTGGAACGCCTTAAGAAATTTTAACAACAAATAACTTATAAACAATTATATTGTTTATATTTTTTAGTTACACATGTCTTAGAGGATAGCTCGCTTATACCAAGTCCCCACCAAAAAGTTAACCATCTCAAATCGAACTTAACCACATCGCTAACTATTGCTGTCCACACTGCGGTTTGAGGTTTATAAAACAGTACAAATGTAGACAACAGTGTTCGGAGCTCAAAACCTTATTCAGGACTAAATCGCTGCAAAAGTCGGGGCAAAACAAATTTTCCGTATTCGAATGAATTTTTTATTTTCGTTTCTGACATTAATTGTTTGACTTAAATATTTTCTATTCATGCAAAAATAAGAACGCGAGGCAATGTAAGGATAATATGTTACATATTTAGGTAATTTTTAGGATTTTCTATAAAGTAGAACATTTCTAACACTTTATTTTTTAAAGAGCAGTAGGATCTAAACCTTTTCTACTTTATATAAATTTCATTCTACATATCGTCGATGTTTTTGCAAAACTGCCCATCGCCCAATTGCAAAACCGCCTATCTTACGGCACTCAAATTTTACAGGAGAGCGAAAAAACGGTATATTCTTTGAGGGCATTGCAATGATAGGCGGTATTCTCTGTAGCTATGATTTTACAAATCTGTTGTTTTAATAACGATTTAACGATTTTTATGCATTAATATCGATGCTTGGAGTTCAGGGTTACCAAATCTCATTTTGCCACAACGGCGATTTAGGCGGTTTTGCAACCGGTTGATAGGCGGTTTTGCAAAAACATCGACGTNTTTAATTCGGAATTTTCACTTAGTAGAATTCTCCTTTCTGTGTTGCCGAAAAGGGGAAAAAGANCATAGGCGGCCTTCGGCCGCTCTTAGGGATTAAAACCCTCACTACGTAGAATTCTCCTTTCTGTGTTGCCGAAAAAAAGGGGCGGAACACCTTTTTCAGAGAACACCTTTCTGCGTAGGCGGCCTGTGGCCGCACTTAGGGATTATAACCTAACTACGTAGAATTCTTTCTATTGTATTGTTTTGTACGGTATGGCAACACATCTTATTTGTCAGTTTGCAAACATGTGTTATGTGTTATGAATTTATATATATGAAAGTATGTGACAACTGCCCACTTTGATAAGGAAATCAACTGGAACGCCTTAAGAAATTTTAACAACAAATAACTTATAAACAATTATATTGTTTATATTTTTTAGTTACACATGTCTTAGAGGATAGCTCGCTTATACCAAGTCCCCACCAAAAAGTTAACCATCTCAAATCGAACTTAACCACATCGCTAACTATTGCTGTCCACACTGCGGTTTGAGGTTTATAAAACAGTACAAATGTAGACAACAGTGTTCGGAGCTCAAAACCTTATTCAGGACTAAATCGCTGCAAAAGTCGGGGCAAAACAAATTTTCCGTATTCGAATGAATTTTTTATTTTCGTTTCTGACATTAATTGTTTGACTTAAATATTTTCTATTCATGCAAAAATAAGAACGCGAGGCAATGTAAGGATAATATGTTACATATTTAGGTAATTTTTAGGATTTTCTATAAAGTAGAACATTTCTAACACTTTATTTTTTAAAGAGCAGTAGGATCTAAACCTTTTCTACTTTATATAAATTTCATTCTACATATCGTCGATGTTTGTGCAAAACTGCCCATCGCCCAATTGCAAAACCGCCTATCTTACGGCACTCAAATTTTACAGGAGAGCGAAAAAACGGTATATTCTTTGAGGGCATTGCAATGATAGGCGGTATTCTCTGTAGCTATGATTTTACAAATCTGTTGTTTTAATAACGATTTAACGATTTTTATGCATTAATATCGATGCTTGGAGTTCAGGGTTACCAAATCTCATTTTGCCACAACGGCGATTTAGGCGGTTTTGCAACCGGTTGATAGGCGGTTTTGCAAAAACATCGACGTTATATTTTTTAACAACTTAAGTAAAGTTCTGCAATTTCTACAGCCATACATCAAAAAATAACGAGGTTACTTTATTGACGCATTGGTATGAAAGAATTACTTTTTAACAGTAAGATTTGGCTAACTTTCAATTTTTTTACTGAAACCGGTGGTGAACACTCAAAAAACGGCCCTAAGAGGGGCATAAAATGAATGCAAAAAATGGAATAGATTTGAAGTCAAGCGGAGTAGATTTCAAATTTTTTCAAAAATCGGGTAAATCTGATCTGATCTTAGTGAAGTCCAAACACTAGTAGGAAACAAATTTTTTACATTTTAACCCTAATGACCCACAGATGGCGGGAAAACACAGGGTTGTATCAGACTTTCGACGTGGTTTCGAGTTGGTTAGCTTTTAACCATCTCAGTGAAATGGTTAAGTGTTGTCATTTTTATATGGCGAAACTATGCTAAATCAAGTGGGTTATCGGGATAACCAACTCAACAGCCATAACTACGTGGTTAGCTCTAGTGGGGACATGGTATTAACATCCTGACCAAGTTTCAATTGTTAATTCCACCTAGTTTTCTTAAAACACAAGCTGCGGCTGACTACTAAAGCCCACCCCGTGACAACGCTGAAACATTTGTCAATATTTTCAATTTTATTAGTTTTGCAGAAAGAAGTTGCAAAATTTTACTAAATGAAAACTGTGAAACCATTTTATTTGCCTAAATAAGTGCGTTAAAAAGTTATTATTTATTTATTCACTAAAGCCCACCCTAAATATTTCCTCCATGAATAACATTTAGCAATGGATATTATGATATGCATACGCAAAAAATAAGTTTTTAACGCACTTATTTAGGCAAATAAAATGGTTTCACAGTTTTCATTTAGTAAAATTTTGCAACTTCTTTCTGCAAAACTAATAGCAAAGTTGGAGCTTTCAAATACCTAAACGTAACAATAGATTATAAACATGACAATAGTTATAGCTGCGAGTTTTGTTATTGCACGTGAACATTGCTATAAATCTCCTTTTTGGTCAATTGATACCCTGTAGTAGAAATTTCAATGAAAACTGTGAAACCATTTTATTTGCCTAAATAAGTGCGTTAAAAAGTTATTATTTGCGTATGCATATCATAATATCCATTGCTAAATGTTATTCACTAAAGTCCACCCTAATTATTTCCTCCATGAATAACATTTAGCAATGGATATTATGATATGCATACGCAAAAGATAAGTTTTTAACGCAGTTATTTAGGCAAATAAAATGGTTTCACAGTTTTCATTTAGTAAAATTTTGCAACTTCTTTCTACAAAACTAATAGCAAAGTTGGAGCTTTCAAACACCTAAACGTAACAATAGATTATAAACATGACAATAGTTATGGATGAGAGTTTTGTTATTGCACGTGAACATTGCTATAAATCTCCTTTTTGGTCAATTGATACCCTGTAGTAGAATTGCCAGTTTTCAAAAAACATCGATACACCGATGGATTGGTACATCGAGTATTACTATTTCGTCGATGTTTTTCCAACATTCCTACTGCATAGAAATATTGGTTTTCTTTCCATAATTAAAAACGGGTTAGCAATGAATAGCGTTTCTAGTGCAATTGAAGTATTCATATGTTTATTAAAATAGTTAAGTCCGTCCCCTTACAGCGAAGAGTGACACATACGATATATATTTGAGTGTTCGCTGTTCGAAGATACTGCAATATATGGGGAAAATGGTGTAAACAGTCAATTATACTGCAGGTACGAACAGAAGCTAACAACTATATATCGGTTGTATTGGATTATGTCAAGTAAAGTGGCCAACAAATGATTTGCTGATATGTTATCCACAGTATTAGAATACGAACAGTGCAAAAAATAAACTAAATATAGACGTCTATACAGATTGGTTAGGTGGGCTTTCAAGCCCAAAACTGATCAATTCTGGAAATGGAGCAATATTAGACGCGTCTGGAACCCAGTAAAAATAATCGGAAAGAGGAAATTAACTTTTTTTACGATCAAAAGTCATTAACAAAAAACTACTACAATAGCACCTTTTTTGTTGACGTTCTACACTCACGCAAACGCACAAAACGTCCATGTTTCACCATACACAACAATAATACTTCATTTTAGTCATATATGTCATAATACCGGTAAATACACCACTAATAACATAGGCGCATATTCATAGTCATATTTAGTACTCAACTAAGTCGAAACTATTCTAAGGGCCGGTTACTCAAAGTCTGGTTAACACTAATATCTGGTTAAACATCGTTATCGACTCCCTGTTATATGAATGTTAGGGCCGGTTACTCAATGTCTGATTAGCACAAATTGGAGGTAGAAGCATCGGTTAAGAACAACGACTGCTTTATCGATCACATGTTAAATGCATGGTGATAACATATTACATTATGTAGAAATTAAATTGGTAGAGGGTGATTTTAATGGCGCATATTCATAGTCATATTTAGTACTCAACTAAGTCGAAACTATTCTAAGGGCCGGTTGCTCAAAGTCTGGTTAACACTAATATCTGGTTAAACATCGTTATCGACTCCCTGTTATATGAATGTTAGGGCCGGTTACTCAATGTCTGATTAGCACAAATTGGAGGTAGAAGCATCGGTTAAGAACAACGACTGCTTTATCGATCACATGTTAAATGCATGGTGATAACATATTACATTATGTAGAAATTAAATTGGTAGAGGGTGATTTTAATGGCGCATATTCATAGTCATATTTAGTACTTAACTAAGTCGAAACTATTCTAAGTCACAACTAAAGCTTTTCATAGTCGCCTTAGTTTCGACTTTTCTGACTAAGTACCAACTTAAAATTTAGTTTCGGCTGCAGCTGCAACTAAGTCGTAACTAGGAAGAAGTATTTTATCAAATTAAGGGAAAACAGACGAAATATGTAAAAATTAAGTTGGTAGAGGGTGATTTTGATAATATTGAATAATCTCCAATTAAAATTTACAAAGATCGATCCATTTTAACCGGAAGACGAAATTAAATGCGTACTACAATTCCAATAAAGCTACATCACAATTTTATAATTGGAATAATTTAGATAAATTCTCAAATAATAAGTCAGTTTCACGCTAGTTCTTTTCAAGTAAATTTGTGCATAACATTTAGATATCTACTATTTGTATGTTTCACAGCATGCTTTCGATAAATGTCGGCTTCACATCACTGCGGTTGTTCTGGCTATTTCACACAATTAACAAGAAAATTATACCTTATTCTTTTGCATAATCATGCAATGAAAATAAAAATTACATAAACGGATGATCAAACTTGACATTATTTAATAAAAATGTAATTTTTCCAAAATATCGCAAAGAAAAATGATACATTTTCACACTCGTTTTGCTATATTGTAAACTAAGTCGAAACTATGAAACGATGACTGAATAGAGGTAAATTTTAAGTTGGTACTTAAATTTAAGTTGCAACTTTGTTAGTTTCGACTTTGTAGGAGTTGTTATATTGTATTAACAATATTTATTAAAAAGATATATTAACGCTTAAACTACAAATAAATGTCTACAATCTATGGTTTAATTAAAATGCCTTTTTACGTTGAATTTTTGCACACCAGTCCGTCCGGATCCACAGTCGGCAGAAGAGAGAGCACGGCCACCAAACGATAGGCGCAAGGTTGCATTTTAGCTTGCTAAAAAAATAGCGCCTTTGGCGTTGCCACAATACTCCCCCCAGACTTCTATAGAGCGTAGCGAGATGGAAGTGTGACCGTTCGCCCAACCCTCGTCCTCTTTGCAGGGGTGTCTTGCGGCGTTGTTGTCGAATTGGTAGGTTGACTTTTTCGAGGATAATTCGCCTCGGCTGTTGGAACTGGAATAGATGTCTCTTCAGATGGTTTATCTATGAATGCAGGTTTGATGCGGTCGATGGAAATCGTAACCGATTTGTCGTTTATCCTGATTACATATGTTTTAGCAGTGCGCTTCTCAACTTCATATGGGCCATCATACAGTGGTGTTAGTGCCGGTCGCACAGCGTCCTTACGGACAAAAACGTGCGTAGCTGTTGCCAGTCCGGGTCTCATGAAAATCTTCCGTTTTGCCTTGTGGGATGTGTCTGTGGGTTGTAGCTCGTGCATGTTTTTAATCAACTGCTGGACGAATTCAGATTGTACTGCTTGTGGGCGTGGCTCACACATGTTCCCTGGAAGTCTGAGTGATGTGCCATAAACTAGTTGAGCAGGGGTCGCCTTGATGTCTTCTTTGTATACTGACCGCAGGCCCAACAAGATTATCGGTAGTTGGCATGACCAATTTGAAGAATCACTGCACATAATCGCCGTCTTCAATGTTCTATGGAACCTCTCTATCACCCCTTTTCCTTGAGGGTGATACGCAGTTGTTCGCAAGTGTTGAATACCAAGCACACGGGATAATTCTCGAAAAAGTGTCGATTCGAATTGCCGGCCTTGGTCTGTAGATATTCTGAGCGGTACCCCAAAATGTTTTATCCACCCGTTCAACAAAGCTAAGGCGACTGTATCAGCGTTGATGTCCTCTAGTGGGATTGCTTCTGGCCACCTGGAAAAACGATCTATTATAGTTAAGCAATACCTAAAACCATTCGATGGAGGTAGGGGGCCGATTAAGTCTATATTTATGTGGTCGAACCTTTGTGATGGTAGGCTGTATCTTTCGAGAGGTGAGACTACATGTCTATTCACTTTTGAACGTTGACATTGTATGCAATGTGCAACAAATTTACCGATCTCTATGTCCATGTTTTCCCATACAAAGTGTTGTTTAACCAATCGCGTTGTGGCTTTTCTACCAGGGTGAGCTAAATTATGGAATTTTGCAATGGCTGCTTGTCGCTGCTCTGGTGGTACATATGGACGTGCTACGCTACCGGATACGTCACACATGATAGGTGTATCAGTTGTAGGTATTTTGATGAGTTTAAACTGGAGTGAGGTGTTGTCTGAGTTTAAAAGTTGTTTCAGTTCTTCACACGAAGATTGCTGTTTGGCTATGTCCTCGTATTTGATGACGTCTCGCGTGGCAATGTTGAGAGCGTTTATACGTGAGAGTGTGTCTGCGGTGATATTTTTCTCTCCTGCAATATATATTATTCTTGTTGAAAATTGTCCAATTAGGTCGAGGTGGCGAATTTGTCGCGGAGATAAACTCTCCTTCCTCTGTTTGAGCGCGAAAGTGAGCGGCTTATGATCGGTTGCTATGGTGAAATCTCTTCCTTCTAGGAGATGCCTGAAATGTTTAATGGCACTATATATCGCAAGTAACTCGATCGTAAGTGCTATATTTTGTTTGGGCAACTGAAAATTTTTTTGAAAAAAATGCTAGCGGTTGAGGTTCGTTTTCGACGATTTGGTGAATTACTGCCCCCATTGCGCTGTCACTTGCGTCCGTGCATAAAATAATGTTTGCTGATGGGATTGGGTGTGCTAGGAGCGAAGCGTTTGCTAAATCTTCTGTGGAATTTTGAAAATGGTAAGTGGTATCTTTGCTCCATTTTATTACTGACGCGACGAGAATGTCATCAACATAGCAAAAACAAAAATCTAGACCGCGGAGTGCTTCGTGCATGTACCGTTGAAAGGTCTGTGCTGCGTTTCGGAGGCCAAAGGGCATGTGCAGGAATTCATAATGTCCGAACGGCGTAGTGACGGCTCTCTTAGGCACGTCTGCTTTAGCGACCGGTATTTCATAATACCCACGATATAAATCGATTTTTGAAAATATTGACTTATCGTGCAGGTAGCAAGTAAGATCGTGAATATGTGGTAGTGGGTAACGATCGGGTAGAGTTTGCGCGTTCAGGGCCCTGTAATCTCCGCAAGGGCGCCAGGTGTTATCGGGTTTGCGTATTACGTGTAAAGCCGAGGCTTAAGGGCTCTTTGATGGCCTGCAGACGCCGAATTTCATAAGGTCTTCAAACTCATCTCTGATGGCTCGGTACTTCTCTGGTGTTAACCTCCTTGATTTCGAAAATGTAGGTGGACCTTCCGTTTCGATGAAGCGCTGAACGTTGTTGCTTATGCTGTCTTCAAATGTTTTATTAATTTGAGTGATGTCTTTGAATTCGCGTATTAATTCGGCGTACTTGCTATTAATATCGTTGGTTGTGAATGCGTATTGTTGCACGTTAACTGCTTCAACGGCTCGACTTTTTAACTGCGTTTGGGCGTCTATGATTGTGGAGTTGCGCATGTCTACTATGAGGTTAAATTTGCTTAAAAAATCGGCTCCAAGTATATTGTACCTGGTGTCAGCTGCGACGAAATCCCATTCAAAAGGCCTTCTTAGTCCCAAATCGAGAATTAATCGTGTAGTTCCAAACGTTTTGATTTGGGTGTTGTTCGCTGCGAACAATTTAGGTGTTGACTTATTTGGAGATGTATGACTTGTGCTGGGTGTGCTAACAATCGATATGTCGGCACCTGTATCGATCAAAAATCGTTTATTTGATTTGCGGTCGTAAATGAAAAGTCTATTGTTCAACATTGTGCTATATTGGCTGTTGCAGCGTGGGTTGGAGGATGTATCAACGAACGTAGCTGCGGGCACTGTTGACTTACTCAGTTTTTGCCGTTTTGAAATTGCATGGTGTTTCGCATTTTTGTGCTTTATCTCCGAAACGTCTGTGGTACCAACAATTTTTTTGCTGCATACCTTCTGATGAGTGACCTGTCTCACCACTACGGCTATGTGAGCGAGGCCTTCTGCTCCGGCGTCGCCTGTTGCCCAATTCGATTCTGGCAAGCGCTCGCTCGATGCGTGACATTCTAGTTTCCATTGAGGAATTTTCATTTAGTTTGGTTGTTGGGGTAGTTTGCTCTTGTTGGCTACGAACGGTAACGGCGTTTGTCGAATTGGCTCGTACAACATCTAATATTTCGTCGGCGATTGATGCCAGCTGCTCCAAAGTCATGTCGGTGTTCCCTTTGTCGATACCAGTTATCACTGCCCTTGCGGATACAGGAAGTTTCTGTAACCAAAAGTCTTTAATTAATTGTTTGTCGGTAGTAACGCCTGTGCGTTGTAGTTGCGTGAGCATGTGACTTGGTTTGCTGTCACCTAGCTAGATACCCGATGTTAGCTGCTCAAGGCGCGCGATTGGCGATACTGAAAATT